TAAGTTGTTGACGTCACTTGCTTCATGCATCGATAAAGGTGCAGTGCTGAAACATCCAATTTCGGGGGGCCGGATCCGCTGTGTTCCGGGGGGCCGGATTCGAAGTGCGATGCGATCTGTCGCATCCCTGGCAAATTTCGGGGGGCCGAATCTGAAGTGCTATGCCATTTGTCGTATCTCTGTCAGTACGCGCAACGCATGATGCGCCGTGGCGCTGAAGGCGGTGTCCGCTCCGTTTTTTCCTCGAGGCGTTATACACAGCGTACGTGCCGTGCTCCACGCGGCCGTAATCGCGAGCCCGTCTGCTGCCTGCCTTCGAGTGGCAGGGTATCGCGCTTTACCGCTTGATGGAAGCATGAACTTTTGGTGCGGATTATACCCAATTAAATGGAAGCATTCATCCGTGGTCCCGCTGACGGTGGTTTTCCGGCAGAGCCACCGTATCGGTGGGTGGTTACCAATGTGTTTCAGTTTTGTACGAGAAGTCTCATGAACAGTCGAAATCTTCACGAGCTTCTGCGTTTGACCTTTTATGACATTCTAATTTCACGGCAGTCAGAAACATGAGAGCGCTGCGGGGAGAAAAACGTAGACGCTGTTAAATACAATAAAATGTTCATACAATCGCAAGTTGAAAATGCGAAACAGTCTTCCAATGTACGTGCCAGAGCACGAGAGCACACCAAATAGTCGTTTGGTGAGTGTGCCAGGGCATGAGAGCACACCGGACAGTCTTCCAGCGTGTGTGTGGGCAATGGTATATAAGAGGTTATGAACATGAGGATTTCTGATACGTTAGGAGTTGCGAACATTAAGGGTTATGGTACATTAGAGGTCATGACACATTAGTAGTTGTGATACATTAGGTGTTTCGAGCATTACGTGTTATGACACATTATTGGTTACGAACATGAGGTACTGCGCTAATCCCCTCCACCGGCAGAGCAGTCTTCCAGTGTATGTGCCAGAGCACGAGAGCTCACCAAGCAGTCTTCCAGTGTATGTCAGAGCACGAGACCACACTGAGTCCTCCAGTGTGTGTGTGCCAGAGCACGATAGCACACCGAGCAGTCTTCCAGTGTGTGTGCCAGAGCACCAGAGCACATCGAACAGCTCTCAATCATTGCATCGCTCATCGGCATTAGGATTTGTTCTTTTGTGACCGCATGTTAAAATTGAGGAGGCCATAACGGCCTATGTTGAACTTCCGTGGCAAACAACTATTCTGAAGCGCTTGTTACTTAACAGACATCAGTTATGCCGCTGCATCAGCTCTGACAACGCACATGTTTGAGCCTGCAGCAGATTGGACTTTGCACAAATGGTTTTCACTATGTATATATATATATATATATATATATATATATATATATATATATATATTATCATGCCCTTCTCGCGCATGCTGTGATATTGGTAGCGTACAGGTCGATTGCCGTCGGGCCAGTTTAGAAGCCTGCAGACGATGCCACCTACATCATGAAGCTGGTTTCTTGCCTTATGCATAGATTGAAGCATCCAGGTGTGGAGGATAGAGGAGTAACTAAATATAAGATGATGCTGTGGTCACGTTGCCATCAGGATCTAACGGAAGTTCCGTCGGCCGTAACGCACACCAAATTAATGCGATGCAATTCCATGCAAGCACGCTTTGAAGGACTGTGCTGCATGTTCAAACAGTATGCTACTTTTTCAAAATTGTAGCGTATGATTTCAAAGCAGAAAGTGCGCCCTCTTCCATCTGGTGGCGGATTTCTACAACGCTGCACACCTGCCAGTGTTTTATCTCCCCACTCCATAACATGGAAAACGTGACTTTTGGATCGCGAAACGATAAACTGAACGACAAGGATAGGAAACAGTATCTGTGTCTCGGCGGCCAGGCATCACCGCGACGTAGACTTAATACTGAGCGGAGAGAAAACAGATAATCGTTCTGGCAAACATGTGAGTTCATGCATGGCGCAAGTCATGACCATAAGCCAAAAAAACCGGTCTTCGGGAGCTCTTCGGAATTTATGATACCTCTCGGAAACCAGAGGAATTAGAGGCGAAGAATCATTAGTCGCTCCGTTTAGAGGAGCTTATAGTGCAAACGGCACTTGTCTATGGGCGGACAGTGGGTCGAGGCGACGCGCAGAAAGACAGCGTGCTGCGTGAACCCCACCACGCTGGTCTAGGTTCCAGACAATCGGTATTGGTCGAGGCATGGATGCAACCATCGCTGGAGTCGGTGATGTCCGAACCCAGTGATGTTTTGGCATATTGAACCATTGATGGGTTTTGGTGACATAGATAGGACCGAAACAAAAAGAAATCCCACTGGCATTTCAAGCTTGGGTTAAAATGATGCGGCGTTACATTTACAAGCAACCATTCGTCCGCGATGTTTTACAGGCTTCATGTTGATCGGTGAAACGGTGTCGATGGTCCAAAGCGACTGAAGTTCCGGGCGAACAACAGCAGCTGGACCAGCGCCAGCGGCAGCTGGTCCAGAACCGGTGCCAGTCTCGGTTGTGCACAAATGTCAAAAGCATTGCGCACGAATGTGATAACATTAGGTCATCATATTATCCATCACTGGTAACATGATGCATAACATGGTAACATGGTAACATGGTAACAACCTGACTGTTGAATATCAATCATTTGCAATAATGCGACGCGTTTTTGACGCTGAGTCGACTGTGTGGGTAGCAGTAAAATAGTAGTAATCCATGAAAGAAGCAGCTGCGCCAAGTTAACCAATCTTGCGGTGGACCGACAAGAAATAGAACCAAGCAGGGGCTATATAACCATAGGCATCATATGTGAAAGAGGCCGTGGGGGTGTCCGGGGTGCTGTGGGGCGCCGCGTGCTGTGAATAATTATGGAATAAAATGCATCTGTATGGACGATAATGACATGGCTAGTCAAATGCTCAGCGCTTGATTTACGTTACCCGGATGCGTAGGAAAATGGGATCGGGGAAAATGCATAGCGTCGTGCTTTTTCTCATTCTTTGCAACAAGGCTTATTCCTTAGACTGCTGTCACGACCTCAGCATTCCAATCACCAGAGAACTACAGAAGGATGGATTTCATAGGTGGGTGGTATGAGGAAACGTGTCTGTTGGCAGGGATGATTCATGGCTTATTTGGAGTTGAGGTCCAGGATGCATAGCTTTATTGTTGGACCATCCATTGGTTGCCAGTAGCTTGCTGTTTTAGATGGATTTGCATATTGTGGCTTTTGCCAGAAAAGTTTTCAGCCAGTTGTATGACACTTGTGCTCCTTTTGGTTCTGACATTTGTGATTGAGTGTGGTAAATCTCCATTGTAGGACTGCAAAACATAAATGTGATGCCAAACTTAATGGTGCCCCATTGAGCACTGCTTTAAGGTTGTGCTAAAGATGTGTGATTCAGGATTCTCTAGGTAGTCTAGGTAGGCAAGTACTATTGAGAGGGGTTAGACTGATTTGGGAGGTAAAATGGCATAGGAATTTAATTTTAAGATTATCTCACACATGATTTGACAGTAGAAGTAGCAGCTACTTGCATTCATCCTTTTGATATTTCTGACAATTTATTTTGATGTGTATATAAAGTTTTTGTCATATAGGTTGTGTGTTAAGTTATGTCATATACTTTTTTCATGCTTCCATTCCAAAACATATACAACCCATCAAACATAACAATCTCAAATTCATGGAAAGGTATTTGTAGAGGTGATTAGGGTCTTTTCAAAAGGCATCATCATCCATTTTCATTTGACATGAAGGGCATTGTATGAAGGTATACCAAATACCCAGCTTAATACCAAGCTCGCTTGTAACCTGATTGTACTGAAAAAACTGATTGGATTACTGTCCACAGGGCTTAAAGCACCCATGATTTCTCAAAATGTGCTGTAAGGGGATTCTTTGCTGAAGGTCTTTTCTGTATCAGTACAATTTTCTTTACTGGAGTGGCATACCTCAGGACATATTTCAAAAAGCTCTAGAGAAACCTCAGGACTAGTTGTGTCCAATTATGTCACTGGGTGGCACCACTGCCGCACTGTCAGGACATGAGGAGGGAATCAATTTTGATAATTTTTTGTTCCAAATTACACTGTCAATGCTTTGGAGCAACACTAGCTTCTTCTGTGTGGGCGCGACCACTGTCGTCATGACAATGACAGTGCACACCTCTTCTGCTGAGAGCGACTGTCGTTGGCCCAGCAGTAAAGGACTTTTACCAGAAGCTGGTTGGTTCATGATTGAACCAGTGCGTTGCATAGATCATGTAGTGCTCCCATTCCCAAAGCGTGTGCCCCAAAAGGCCATTGTGCTAAACATATGGAGAAATTAAGGCCATGTTATAATGTTTTGTTGAATTCGTAGGATGATAGCTTCATATTCACATAAATTTGTCTTAAATGTTTAAGCTTTGATGATGTTCATTGCGCGAACGTTTTCACACATTGTTGTGTCGTAAACATAAGAAATATGGAAAACGCAAGGCAGACAATGTTTTACTTTATCGTGGTGAGCAGATAGTCAAATGAGATTTCTCCTGCAGGGCTGCCTACCTCCAATCGAAATTCTGAGCTTTTCAAAAGGATTTCGAGTAAACTGATATTACGGATTGAATCGTCGCAATTGATGTACCAAGTGTGTGTGTAGTGGGCAACACCAAGTGCTAAGTACACGAAGGTGGGATGCTCTTTTTAAGCAATGTTAACTCTGAACTATTGATGAGCTTAGGTCCCATGAGAACAACCAGATTTGGCTATCTCTGTGGTATGAGTTAACACCACATTGGGTGCCCTGGTTGTAACAGGGATCTGGTGACATCACTGGAGCTGCCCTGGTCTGCCAGCATGACTGGCTGTCGGGTCTTGATCGTCGAGCGGCTGCCCAGCGGAATGTATGTCGACCCCTATCAGCTGGCCCGTCTCCATAGCAACCAATACCGCGTCGATGGCCCCGTCGACGTCGAAGCCATGGCACATGACTCCGATTGGCTGCGGGTGCTGGCGTGGGAGGAGCTAAATGCCACAGAGGGTGCGCAGGTGAGACATGTGGTTAGCAGCTGAATTAGGGAGTGAGATCAACTGATAGCAGTATGATTACGGAAGACATGGTGTTACAAATAATTTATATAACCCCGGGCGTCGTGATGTTTTTCACCACCATACAAATCATTAAAAAATATAAAATGGAAAAAAGAAGTCGCACATATGCATGGCCCACGTCATTACCGTTATCAACACCATGCAATCACCTTCAGCTTTCGAAAAAGGATTTTGTCCGAACACGCATCATCAACAGTCTGGTCCCCCATCTCGTCTCATCATCGCTGCTAGCAGACGCCCGGGCAGCCTGCTTAGCCCTTTGACCTGCATCTTTTTCGGCCACAGACGGGTCACGTGACTGTGCAGATAACACTGCCGGTGCACGCGCGCTACCAGCGGGCCGACGAGACGGAGCGGGTGGCGGCCGTCTACATTGACCCGCCCCGGGTGAGGCTTGCCGCCAATGGCGGCCGGCGAGGCGTCGGCAGGGCTGCTTCAGGTGTGGCGGCGGGGAGTCAGATTTGAGTGGGGTTGTTGTTGTTGGTTCGTGTTTTAGGGCGCGCCGACTGCGGTAGTCATTTGGCGCTCATTTGAGTGGGGTGAGAGGCCGGCTGGAGTGGGGGGAGGGACCGGCTGGAGTGTGACGAGAGGCGGACTTCAGTGGAGTGAGAGACGGTCTGGAATGAACAGGACGGGACAAGAGGCGGTATGGTGCTGGTGAGAGGCAGTGTGGAGCGGGGTGAGAGGCGGGCTGGAGCGGAGAGCGTTTGGCTGGAGCAGGGTGAGAATCATTGCTGGAGCGGAGGTAGTTTGGCTGGAGCGCGGTGAAAGGCGGGCTATAGCGGGGAGCGTTTGGCTGGAACAGGGTGAGAGGCAAGCTGGAGCGGAGATAGGTTGGCTGGAGCGCGGTGAGAGGCGGACCATAGCGGGGAACGTTTGGCTGGAACAGGGTGAGATGCGGAGTGTTGCGGGATGAGAGGCAGGCGGGAGTGGAGTGAGAGGCGGGTTGGAGCGAGGTGAAATCTGGGCTGGAGTGAGGTGAGAGGTAGGCAGGATCTAGGTGTAAGTCTGGCTGGAGCGCCGTGAGAGGCAGGTGGGAGTGGCGTGGGCGGAAGGCTATAGCGTAGTGGTAGTGGGGCTGCGGTGAAATGAGGCCCAGTCTGCAGCGGCGCAGCAGCTAGTGTGTAATGCCATAGGAATCTCTCTACAGCGGGGGAGTAAGTACCTCACAGCTGCGTAAAGGCGGGACGACTCCATGAGTGGCGAGGATATCTGCCATTACATTGTCAGACCTGACGTGTGTTCCCGATCTCAGTGAGTTCTCGCAAACCCTGCTTCCGTGCATGACGCGATATGAGTGACCTCGATGATGGCCCGATGGCCACCCGTCGATAAAAACCCGAATGACAATGTCTTCGGGCTGAGTCGGGCTAGGCTACCCAGGGAAAGACATCCTAGCAGCACGTCCGCATCCGCATCACCGACATCTTCTGAGCTGGGATGAGACAGCGTGCCTCACAGCCGCGCGCGAGCTTCCGCGGGGTGACCGGGCAGCCTTGCCAGTCAGCCGGTTATAGACGTTATTCGTGATCAGCTTGATTCGCTCGCGCATAACCACTGATGCATCCAAAATCAGGTTTAATGAGATGCTTGCACGTGTTTAACGTGAGCAGATCGGCGGCACCTCGACGCCTGAAGAGCTGGCGGACTGCGCGCGTCGTTTTCCAGCTACTCGGCCATTCATACAGCTCGGGTAGCAGAACCCCGACCCGGCCCGTTGCGGAGCAGACCAGTCAGCGTTCCGACGCCGTGTTGGCAACTGGCCAACAGCTGCCAATCTTCACCTTGATTTTTCCAACTGGCCAATAAAGTCAGATGCCAAACAAACAAACGGACCGCAACGGGACCGCGTAATTCGTGGAAGCACTTTACCGAAAACCATCCGTTGGATTGTCGTTCCTCTCGAAAAATGGGTTACGACACGCTCGACTAGCCATAGTTAGCAGAGTCGTATCCCAAAGGTATCCTTGCAAAATATGTAATGCATTTTCCGTGGCACTGGGTGGCACCGGGCGGAGGCAGGTTGTGATTGGTTCTCTTGCGACGCCAGGTGTACCTGGGTTGCGACTGGGACAGCGTGGACGGATGTAGCTGCGCTATGACGTCACTGCCGTGCCGGGCGGTGGGTGGAACCGCCTGCAGCTACGAACCCATCCAGCTGGATCACGTCAGTATAACGTCATATGGCCATAACATCGTCCTGCGGCGCGGACGTCTTTTAATACCGTGGTTCACTAACCCAAGCTTGAACGAAATGGTAATGCTCGACAACCTCGTTGTCTGATGTAGTCTTGTATTCTTCAAAACTGTTAAGCTTTTCGCCAGGTAGCTACAAGTAACCCCAACGGAAGCCTTGCATCTTGACGCATTTCTGCCTCTGCTCCCTAGCGTCACCAATTCCCAGCTGTTGGGCAGTGTGTGCGCGCGCGCGTGCGTGCGTGCGTGGGTGCGTGGGTGCGTGCGTTGTCACTAATCCCCAGCTATTGGGCAGTGTACGTGTGTGCGTGTGTGTGTGTGTGTGTGTGTGTGTGTGTGTGTGTGTGTGTGTGTGTGTGTGTGTGTGTGTGTGTGTGTGTGTGTGTGTGTGCGTGCGTGCGTGCGTGCGTGCGTGCGTGCGTGCGTGCGTGTGTGTGTGTGTGCGTGCATGCGTGCGTGCGTGCATGCATGCATGCATGCATGCATGCGTTCGTTCGTGCATACGGCTGACCGCGCCGCCACCGGCCGCCGCCAGGGCCCGACGGCGGTGCTGCCCGTGCCGCTGGGGGACCTGCGAGACCTGGAGCTGGTGCTAGTGGGCACGACAGTGGCCGTCACCGCTAGCTGTCTGCTCCTGCTCATGGTGGTCTTCAACAAGCAGCTGCAGCCGCCGTGACCGCACGCGGTGAGGCAGCTTCTCCTCCCGCACATGGCAGTCAACAAGCAGCTGCAGCTGCTGCAGCTGCTGCCATGGCAGGGGAGCCTCGAGGAGTCGCGCTGGCTCCCGTGTTTCAGCGAGGAAGCGGCTATGTCATGCGCAACGGCCGAGCCCTGGCGGAGTCCTGTCCTGGCGAAGGCACTGGCGGACGTGTGTTGCCAGCGGCCCGGCGTGTTACTGGCGGCGGCTCGCGCGAGCTCGAGGGGGGAGGGGGTCGCTCCGGTTCGCCTCAGCCACCGCACGGCTGGGACAGGGCGGTCGGTCGTAGCGCAGGCAGCGGCGGTCTCGGAGGCGCGCTCTCGTGGGTCAGCTGCGGGCGCCGTGGCCGCGGACAGTCCTTACAAACATCCCGTCCCGTGGAGCCAACTGTGGGTAGGACCGAGGCGAGATCCTGAAATGGGCGTGAAGTCGATGCCAGGAGTCGCTGACTCTCCGTCGTCGATCGTCGGATCTGGCTCTTGCCATCCCGGCGCGCGCGTCAGCGTAGTGGCAGCAGTGTTCAAAATGGGGCGGATCGAATGGCACGTGCCGGCACTGTGGATGTGTTTCTCGACGTGTTCTGCTTCAGTGCAGTATCTGCAGGACGCCTGATTCTTCATGCTGGTTATCATGGAGCGGGTGTGAGAGACGACATTGCTATTTGTGTGAGTACTTGCAATCGCTTGTCACAGGAAGGACCACGGACGGAGGATCGGGCGTTTTAATTGGCCTGAACATGGCTTGAGTGCAGTTACGTGGATTTACAACTGCCGTGTAATCGTCCGTGACACGTGAAGCTTTGCACAATCATTTGTGTCGATTGACAAGTGGTGTGGAATTCCAGAATGACTAGTCAAATACAAGTGTTGTAAGTGCTGAACCTCTTGCTCGGATTAATGGGAGGTGGACGTGTGGCGAGTCAGTACCCACCACAGTGCTCTCGTACGCGACCCCCATGACCCGTCTTGCTTTGCGTGCATCACAAGCCATCATAAATCATAAACCATCCACTGGGATTTGCTTGCATTTGGTCCCGTCACAGTGAGCACCGAGCTGCGAGAAGGCAAAAACACCCAGAGGTGGGCGTCATGCCCACACACTCAGAATAAAATAGAGGGCTGTCGAGGACAGCTTATAAAAATATACCTCATGGGATTCATCCGAAAAAAGAAGCATGGAAACGCGACATGGCCGCAGTGGAAGCGGTTCGCAGTCCTGCGCTGCTAGAGACCACGCGGAAAGGTCGTACGTAACACGAGCGTTGACGAACTTGGCGCCCAGTTCCTCCCACCGCGGTGCCGGCATTCCCCCCTCGTCCCGCGTAGGGCGGGATAAGCGCCAAACTAGGCGACGATGACGTCGCAGGATTGACGTCATCCGTCCATCAAACTGCCCAGTGATTGGCTCGGTAGGGCTGGCGGTGCCGGCCGTCCACCCTCGTCCCACGCAGGGCGGGACGAGCACCAAACCAGGCGACGATGACGTCGCAGGATTGACGCCATCCGCCCATCAAACTGCCCGGTGACTGGCTCGGTAGAGCTGGGTGAACGGTGACGTCATCACCAGTCTCGCAGCTGTCAGTGACGAGCTCAGCTAGGCCAGAGCCACTGGGTAACACAATCAGCGCATTGTGCGGCGCAATGGGCCCCGCCACGCGGCACAACCCCACCGGATCGACAGCACTAGGTCACATGACCGGACCTCTTCGGCACGTCTGCTCGGCGCGCCCGGTCACGTGACCAGCTCCCGCGGGAACATCTGCTCCGTGTACCAGTCCGGCAGCAGGCGGAAGCGCTGGCTGCGGCCCAGCGGCGTGCACGTGACCCGCCGCTCGGCGGGCCGGAAGTCCAGCCGCCAGACGGCGCGCGGGTCGTCGCCGGTCACGTGACGCGCCACGAAGCTCAGCAGTGCGTCGGCGAAGTTCATGCACACGGCCGGCGACCAGAAATCCTGCCAGGACGACGCGTCAGTCGGCCGGCAATACATCCACACAATATGCAAACATTGAGGCAATGACAGGCACGTGGGGCCGCACATCAGTTACGTTACGCATTTTTAGCCACTTTCAACCTGACCTCTCCTCAACTCTGGCTACGAACTGGTTACGCCGGGTGCACTCCCCCTCTTCCACCCCCTGGTTACGTTGCATTAAACAGGACGTCCAAAAAACGTAACGTCAGTTGGGCCCTTCAATGAGCTAGAGATACGAAACAAATAACAGGCGTGATTCATGCGGTGGAGGGGAAGCCAACTGAACCCGATCTAAAGGTTTTCACTTGTCTAAAAAATACATGATTTGCAACCACATTTGAGCGCAACATTACGGTCTTTAAAACCTCCCGTCCCACTCCTCTGTTACGCTTCCCTTACGCCGCATCCCGCATTCTCCCTTTCCATGCGTCACGCAATTTATGGACGACCCCCTACGCACAAAGTTGAAAAGCAAAATTTTAAATCGAGGAGCAATACCGAAGCCTGGACGCATGAGAAGAAGCACACATGAACCAAGAACTTTCAGGACCAAAATATGAACGTGGTTGCTAGGGTAACATTGATAACAGTAATTTCATTCACAAAATAGTCATTGCGTGTCAGACAATCAGTGTCAGTCACCACGCGTATCGTGTGCATGCTGATCTTCTCTCCACGCAGCGACACCTACATCGGCTGAACCACGCGGGCGTTCGCCAGCGCGCGCCATCAGCAGCCGGCCAGCATTCACACGCGCAACCCAATATTCGACCGTACTCATGCGGGTACAATGGTACCCACCTGGTCCTTGGGCAGCTGTCTCGTGCTGTAAGCGTGCAGCCGGTGCACAACGCCGTCATCGTCGCGGAAGCCGACCACCACCCGCTCGATGCCCACGAGGAAGGACTGGGCCCACCACTTGAGCATCTTGAACCTGCCGACCCACGGGCGCTCAGGGGACGTGCGCTGCTGAGGTAGGACTCGGACTGAACAGTGATGGTAGCTGCTGACAGTGGTGTGGTAGTTAACACATCTGCTTTTACCACTGCGCGTCTGGGAAACCAGAGGTACGGGGTTCGATTCCCCGCGGTGCCCGCCCTTCCTGCCAGTGTACGAGGCAGGCGACGTCTAATAGCCCAGCAGCTAAGTGCTTCGTAAAGCCCCAAAGGCAGAAGTGGCAATGAGCATTCAGAACAAGTGGTGATCGCAATGCATCTTTAGAACAGCCAGTCCTCAGAGAAACTCGGCTGAAATCGGACAACACACAAGCAAAACTCCAACGACAAAAACTTCCAGCTGCCCGTCAGACGTCCCCGAGCATGAAACCACCCCCAGCTTACTAGCAGCGCA